AGCATAAAACATATGTCCTTTTTTTTAAAAAAAAAAAAAAAATGTCACAATAGGTATACCTAGCAATTATCTGAACCATTGAATGTGTCTCGTAATTCTATCAAATGGACGGCAGTGATCTTTCATCGAGCAAGAAGGGAAAGTGGACATACGACTATTCTAACAGGCTCTTGAAAATTAATGAGTTCATGATTATATTATCACCAGACTTGTCTAATCCTAGTGAGACAACCATAGTAAACACGGCTCGCTTGCAACAGCAACGCAGGACACCGTTTCATAACCACTTGCAAATGGCAACGAGTGGTTGGTGGTGAGGTGAGGTGTGAATTTTAATCACCAAACAAAAAATAAAAACAGAGAGAGATAAAGGTGAGGGCATTTTTACCTTTTTGGACATTTCACTAGGTTTAGAGGATATCCATTTCCATAAAATAAAATAAAATAAATCCAAAACTACTCATTGGTTGTACCGGAGATTAGGCTTTTTTCTACCCCATTGAAGACGGCTTCTGTTTTATTTATTAGTCAATTAAATAAATTGATAAAATCGTAGGTGGCTTCCTACGACCTACCACATGGCTCCAATCATGCACCTTACAATCTTAGCTGAACACGTGGCGTGATGCAAGATCAAAGGGAATGGTAATCGTGTATTTATTTAGACTCAATGGAGTTGATTTTGCTATTTCATATGGCAGTGTAAATTACAACTATAATTTTACAATGGATGATTAAACAAAATGAAAACTAAGGTATTTTTAATCTTTCAGTGCGAGTTACATAAAATACTATTACCTTAAAGGCAGACTTTAAAGGAAACCAAAGGAAGAAGGAAAGAAGAACCGGTCGATCATGGACCAGCAGTTGTGAGTTTTGCTTGGGACCCACCAATGCGACTGACTACATTCTCCCTCTTTTCCTGGCATTTTTTTCCGTCTCTAAACTATTGAGATTGAAACGCATTAATGTCTATACTAATAGTTTGCTTAGTGTTATTCTTAAATTATTATGTTTTGAATAAATATCATCTTTTTATATGATTTGAACATTATTATTGACCAAAATTTTTTTACGAAAAATTAATTTTTAATATTTTGAGTTAAAAATTTTTACATATGTTAATAAAAATCCAACTCGCTTTAAAAAATCTTAAAATTTTTTTGAGGTCAAGATAAATTTTTTATTTTTTCTTAGACGTTAAATATTAAAAAAATTATAAAATATAAAAAATAAATTTGAATGATCTCATAACAAAAATTTTGTTGTGTGCTTTAAAAAAATCATATAAATTTATCTATCTAATATTAGTTTAATCTTCCAAATATTTATACGAGTTAGTCGAATTATGTGACATCTAATTAAGATTAAAATAAATTCATTTTGAAAATAGCATATGTAAAGTTTTTTCGAACCACACTAAAAATTTACCTATATAAATTCACATGACCTTCTTATTAGTTTCAAGAAAAATTAAGATTATTCCAATTCATTTTTTATTTTTTTCATAATTTCTTAAATTTTTATTATTCAAGAAATAAAAAATACTTTATGAATAAAAATAAATTTGATTTTTTTTTAATGAAATTGGATTGAAGTTTCATTAGCATCTAAGAAAAAATTCAGTTGAAAATATAAAAGTCTGAAATTTTGTTAAAGAAATTTTTGATCAATACAAATTGGTCAAATCAAATAGAAGGAATAATATAGAACTTTTTTTTTTTAATCTGTCTCCGTAACTCTACCTAAATGGAATCATTTAGAACTGGTTTTCCTTTGTTAACGATTACGTGAATGTGAGTAGAAGAAAAGAAAAGAAAAAAGTGATCAGTTTTTTTTTTTTGTTTTTGAACAAAGGATTGCTTTTTCGTTTTGTGAAGGATTAAAAAAAAAAAAAAAAAAGAATCTAATCTGAGATTTCTTGGACGATACAAATTCATGTTATTAGTTAAACTAGAAGACCATTGTCATATATAAGATTGCTTTGTTGTGTGATTTAAAGTTTTAAATTTTGAATTATAGAAATGGATAAAACTGAATGAACGGATTAAAAAATCAATATATTATTGAGATTTAATTATAGCCCTCCAATTTATGCAATATGCATCTTACGGCTTGCGTTGATTCTTAAGGTCATAATTAGCATTTTAAACGAAGAATCATGGAATCATTTAAAGGAAAAGGGCATTTTAATGAAGCTACAAAACTATTTATCTCATTCGTTGGGATGTGGACGCTGGAAGAATCAACATTTTATAAAAACGAATCTTTCCATTCAATCTTTTTCTACCTTTTCGATGTTAAAATTCTAAAAAAAAAAAAATGGTAGAAGTTTAAGATAATAAAAAATTATTATCCAACAGTGCGGTTTAAAATTTAATAAATCTATTACATTTACGTGTGTGAATCAATATCCGAATGCATTATAGTATATATTTTTTCCTTTTTTGATAATAACAGATTTACGATAATTTTAATAAAATACTTGCATCATTTATGTTTAACAAAGAATGAAAATTAGTGAATTAAAATAAATTTAACTTAAATTCAAAAAATAATAAATTTAATTTCAATTAATGTGAGCGGTAACTAAAAAATACTTTACTATGTGTTAATATATATTTAAAAAAATGACTTAATCCGATTGTACATTATAGTTTTTTTTTTTTTTTTGAGAGAGACATTTATAACATTTTTAATGAAATCCTTGCCTCACTATGGTTAATTGAACTAAGAGAGACAAACTTTAAAAAAAATATATATATATATGATTTAAACAAACTGAGATGGTCTTGATGGAATGATTTATTGACGGGGAAAAAAACACCTACCCTATAGTAATATATACTCCATGAAAACCGTAATAAATGATGCTGTTGCATATATATATATAGAAGATAAAAGCAAGCACGCACAGTGATGTTATGCCATGACTTTTTGACGCATTGACTAATCCTTGGATGAACAGTGAACGGGCCAAACGATTATGAGTTGTTTGTACATTGTCTTCGTTACTTCCCATAACAAAGGGCTGGTTTTTATTAGGTTAGATATGAAAGGATTTTGGATTTAGTTTTTTTTATATCTCGAGATTATTTTTTTTTCTAAATGTAATTAATAAATATTTTTCAACGTATAAATTCTAGAACTATCTCATAAGTTAAAGTTTACATATTAGTCGGCTACAAACTTTTGGTTTATTAGTATAAAATTTCTTAATGAAAGAACCTTCCATTCTAATTGTCATGCTGCCCTTAGTTATGAAGGTTTTTATAGTCGATTACTAAGGTGGAATATTAGATAGGTTCATTTCAAAGCTAACTTGTCAAATTCGTGGAATACCCGATTGCCATTGCATATCATGAACACAATATTTTGTTCTCTTATTATTTTACTTTTCTTTTATTTTTATTTCAATTTTAAAATTTTAAATAAAAACAATACATAAACATATTTTACCATAAGTTGTGATACAGTAACAATCTCCGGACATTGCAATAGGGAAGGTTTCATTGATCATCTTTGGATCTAAAAATACAGAGGAAATTACATGTAGTGGGTCCCTTTTTTCAAATCATTTTGCAAATCAGACGGTAGGAAATGAGTTGTCACGAGGAATGGTGACTTTGAGCATTGGCCTTTATTGAAAAAGACCCACTTAATTTTTATCCATATCATGTCATCACATACATAAGAGTTTCGAGTCTTAGAACTACAAAAATACATATTATATTTCCCTTCTTGAAGAAAGACCAATAAAAGAAAAGAAAATGACCAAACAAACCATCTTTGTTTCTTTCTTTCTTTTCGTATTTTCGTTGAGCTCCTTCTATTTAGCTTTTCTTTTACTCCTCCATCAATTCATTTTAATGTGCTTCTCAAAAAACCTTTGATTTGTTGCTTGATTGTTAGTAAATTTATTCTCTCTCTTATTGTTTTGATCAATTTTAAAAAATATTTAAAAAAATTTTGAGAATATATTAATCTAATATGATAGTATTTTTAATACGTAATCGTAAAAAATATAATTTTGATGCATGAAAGTTCATTCAAAAATTATAATTATTAAAATAAAAAAATTATGTTTCTAAAATAGAACCATATTTTTCTTCGAAATCATTTTCATATATTTTTGAAAAAAAAACATTAGTTGTTATGAAGTTTTGAATAAAACATACAACACATTCAAAACAAAAAGAGAAAAGTCTATAGTCAACAGGGATACCATAGAACAATAACGTGCCTCTACCACTCCCCTAACCATTTCGCAATTCAAGGTTAAAAAATTAAGTAGAACAAATGCTTTTTTTTTTTTTTTTTTTGACATTATATATATATATATATATATATATATAAAAGAATTGAAACCTTTCAATAAACATTGAAAAAAAAAAAAAAAAAAAAAAAAAAAAAAGCAAAAGCAAAGAAAGCTCCCCAACATTTACTTCATATACAATACAATCCAATACAACACAACAACAAGAGGTCATATACATAGACAAACACACCCACATAGACACACACACCTTCTCTCTTTCTCTCTCACATTTCATCTTCCTCTTTTTCACAGCCATTTATTAGATTCCTCTAAATGGTCTTTTCTCTTCATTGGATTGTACAGATTCTCAGCTGAAAATACTCTTTCATTACTTGTTAGATTTTTCCTTCTCTTTGCTGTTTTTGTTTCATTTGCTTTTGTATTTTTTTCTCTCCTTCAACTGTAAGACTTGATATATATTATACAAAACTCTTTCTGGGTTTTTTGGCTTTTGCTTTATTTTGCAAACACTGTTTCTGGGTTTGCTGCAAAAGTGTCTTATATACCCAAGAACCACTCATATATGCCTCCTAATGCTTGAATATCAAGAACAAATTTATACAAAGTTTTGATCTTTTCTACAACTGTATTTTTTGTTTATAAATTGAGTTTTTGTATTTTTCTTCTCTTTTTTTTTTCTTTGAATTTTAATTTTCTTGAGTCAAGGAAAAAAGGGAGAGATATGGGCAAGCAAGGACCTTGCTGTCACTGTGGAGTTACAAGTGAGTTCTTGTTTCTCCTTAGTTTTTTTGATGAAAATTTGGATTCCCATTTAGTTCCCCTTTTGTTTTCCCTTCAATAAAGATTCTTGTAATTGGTTTTGTATGCATAGAACAATAATTGTATCATTAAACAGAATGACTATAACCAACAAGGAAGAGATTACAAGGACAAACACAATAAACTGAGAACACTTGTTGTTCTGTTTGTTTATTCATGGATTCCGAACAACTAGAGCCTTTTGTTTCTTTGAACCTATGGGAAACTCACTTGTTTTTCGGTTTGGTGTTGAATCTATAAACCCTTCACTTTATCTCTTGTTTGGTCTTTTGACCACTCTAACAAAGCTTGAACAAATCACATCACTGCAATTTGGGTTTGGAGTCTGTTGAATACTGGGGAACTACATAGTATCTGTTTGATTAATATGACTTTCCTGTTTCTGTATAGGATTTTAAGGAGACCGAATGCTAGTCAAGGTGTACTGTTTTTCTTTGCAGAACTTAATGATTCAATGAAAAAAGTACTTCCTTGACATGTCCCATTAAGTTATTGATGTAATTCTTGTCTATTAAGTTCTTGACTGACTTCTTGTTGTATTCTTTTCTCTTGGATTACATTCCTGGAAAACTTTGCTGCTATCAAGTTCTTTCTTACACATTTTTGGGGTCTTATACTGCTAAAGCTTTGAAGCAATTCAATCCAATTCATGTGAAAGATATATCTCCATTATTTTGTTCTGGAATCAGCTCTACAGTCTGAATTTCGAAGTGATCAAACAATTCCTTCATCATTCCATTGGACGTTGGTCATTGTTTGGGGTGCATTTGTTGGGAGTGTGATGGTCATACTTGTAAACTTAAAATAAATTAATTCATCTCAAGTTTGCTGGAGCTTGAACTCCTCTCAAGGAGCTTAGCTTTATGCTGCTTGGCTATAGGTAATGTTTTGTGGTTTGCCAACCACCTCTGATGGATTAGCTGTTGCGAGGAGGCAATTGCAATGGGGACTCGAGTTTCATTGTGTGTAAAAAAGAGTCATCAGTATCCAGCAGAGCCTTTTCTGGTTTCACTGGTTGGACTTTTTCCTATGTAGTCTCCTTATTCCCTTTATAATTTGTTTGATGCATTATGATCTGCTCTTACCTGATTCATTCTCAGAAGAGAGACACAGCCAGACAATACCAGTACATTAATGCCCCTTCATGAAATGCATGAACTTGTAGCCAAAGTATTTTTGTTGGTCTGTTGTGTCAAGTTTTGGATGAGCAACATTTCCTCCTTGATTATTTGTATTTATATTAATTTAAATTGCATCTTCTATCATTGTTGTGGATAAACTTGTTTAACATGCATGTATATTGCTGACAACTATCTTTCTAACAGGCACACCTCTTTGGCGCAATGGGCCTCCTGAGAAGCCAGTGCTGTGCAATGCATGTGGATCACGATGGAGGACAAAGGGAACACTTGCAAACTATACCCCTCTTCATGCTCGGGCTGATCCTGATGATTATGAAGATCACAGGGTCTCTAGATTGAAAAGTATATCTATAAACAAAAACAAAGAAGTGAAACTGCTCAAAAGAAAGCCAAATTATGATAATAGGGTTTCTGGAGGGTTTGCTCTGGATTACAACCAGGGTTATAGAAAGGTTGTAGATGAAGACATCAGTAATAGGTCAAGTTCTGGGTCAGCCATATCCAACTCGGAGAGTTGTGCACAATTTGGCAGTGCAGATGCAAGTGATTTGACAGGTTGAGCAACCACTAAGATCAATCTTTGTTCTCTGTTGTTTGATTGCACAAAAGAGAATGACTTTAAAAGAATGTGATTGTTGACCGAGTGTTAAAAATTGAATGGATTAGTTGCATATCCAGTCCACATGGTGCGGTGCTTGGAATAAGAAAATAATGGGTGCAGGAAACAGCTCCAAATTTATGGGAAATGAAAAAGAAGAGAGGTGATCATAGTACTGTCTATGTGCGGCAAAATACAGCTCATAAGAATCACAGTCTGATTTTCTGAATAATAGATGTAACTTCCATGCTTTTCTAGGATGCTAAAATACAGGAAGCTGGCTGCTATTCTACTTTATCTCACTAAAGACATCCTACTATGGTTGAGACCTCTTCTAGTGGGACTAGTGATGTGTGTGAGTGTGACTGGAGCCAAACTAACCTATTAGCTCAGTGCTTTTGCTCTGCAGTTTTGGAACCAATATGCTTGGTACTCTTAGTTCTCTGTTACTGACTGAGTTTTGTAGGGGACACTGATTTAATTTAGAAAGGTGTATGTGATGTTTTGTGCTATCAACATGCGTGGCAGTTTGACTTATACATGTATTCTTGTTGTTCTTTTCTCAGGTCCAGCCCAATCGGTTGTGTGGGACTCTTTGGTACCTTCTAGGAAGAGGACCTGTGTCAATCGGCCTAAGCAATCTCCAGTTGAGAAGCTTACAAAAGATTTATATACTATTTTGCATGAGCAGCAGTCGTCATGCTTCTCTGGTTCTTCAGATGAGGATTTGCTTTTTGACAATGAAACTCCAATGGTTTCTGTTGAGATAGGACATGGAAGTGTTCTCATTAGACATCCAAGCTCAATAGCTCGAGATGAGGAATCTGAAGCTAGCTCCCTTTCTGTTGAGAACAAGCAATACTCGACAAATGAGGCTTATTCTCATCCTGTGATCCTTCCTGTATATAATGAAATCAAGAGTGTTAATACAACATATCCTATTACTGAAAAAACTAAGAATCTTACTGGGCAAGGGGTGCAGCAAGAGCAACTTAAGAGGTAATTCATCCATGCATGTTTTCAAGACTTTGCAAGGCATTCTTCTGTAAAAGCAGTATCAGTGTTGAACTCGGATATGATGTTTTTCTATCGTGACCACCTCCTAAAGATTAAAACTCAAGTGTGTGTGTATATATATAGATATATACAGACATGGGGTAGGCTTTAGCATGGATAGAGAATTCTCATAAAATAAGCTGATGGGTGGGGTAGAATGGCAAGAGGTTTACCTTTCAGACTATTACTAGTATGTAGGGATTACTGAATGGCAAAGAAGTGAGAGTACATTGGGGAAGTGTTACTGTACCAGTGGTTGATTTTTCTATTGTTTGGAATTTCAGGGACAAGTCTCCTTATGAAAAAGTACACATCGTGGGAAGTCATAATTCACCACTTTGCAGTGTAGATTTGAATGTAAGTTGCGTTTCTTTGCGCTGTATCTAACTTTTTGTGTCACTAATCACACTTGGCTTTTTCATTAAGTACATGCTACTCAATTTCTTGCACTGACCCAAATTCCAAGGTTTACGTTCTTCTTTTTTTTTAACCATTTTTGAATGATCTGCGACTCTTCCCCCACATCTATTTGCTTTTGTGGAGTGAACCAAAGTCTCAAATGTATAGATATGTGTAGAACAGATCTTCTTTAATATCATTCCTCTTGTTTGCATATCATGATTCTGTTCATGGTTGTGTAGGATATTCTTAACTTTGAGGAGTTTGCAAGACACTTGACAAATGAAGAGCAGCAGCAATTACTAAAATATCTACCTCCACTTGATACTGTCAAACTTCCCAACAGGTCTGCCTTATGCCTTGGTGAATATATTTTTAAGTGTTGCTGTGGTGGGAAATGAACGCTATTTTAATTAGGAGACGCAAGGCATTGTATTTGCTGTCAGTTGCCATTTGCTTTTACTTATTTTTTATTTTTTAAGAAAGAAATCTGTATTCATTAGCAGTTCAAATCAATGGTTGCAGTCTTCAATATCATCATGGACCTGATAGCATTTGAATTTATACCCAAGCCTTTGATGTGCCAAGCTTAGATTAGAGTGGGGTCAGGTCACTGAAAACAAAATGATATGACTATTGTTTGCCTTTGTTGGTGTGTGTATGTGTTGTAGGAAGTATTCTGTCACCTGTTATTCAATGTCAACTGAAACATACACAATCCAAGATTGATGATGATTTATTGTTGTCTTTGCAGCATCAAAAACATGTTTGATAGCCCTCAATTCAAGGAAAACATAAATTCCTATCAGCAACTGCTTTCTGAAGGAGTCTTTGATCTCTCCTTCTCGGAAGCAAAAATTGAAGACTGTAAGACTTTGAAAAGGCTTACACTGTCCAATCTGTCGAAATCCAATTGGGTGGAGCGTTATCATCTTCTCAAGGTTTGAATTGATCTTCTTAAAGTAGGAACATTGTTGCATGAAAATGTCATTTGTCATTTAATTCGTCGGGAGTTGGACATGTGGTTGTAATGGCTTATTGCCTTGTCCCTTTGGCTGCAGAAGTGTAAAAATGGTACTGGGAAATCTCTTGTTGGAAAGGGACCAAATTCAAATGTTGTTGCATCGAGTAATTTAATCGGTGCCAAAAGGTCACGTGACAGCCTAAGTCAGAAGTTTTCAGGTTAGCAATATTCTCACCCTTGGATATATTATTGAGCAAGTTGATCTTTTCTATTATTTTACTCTTAAAAGCAAACAACTATTGATGGTAACATTGAATCTGAAAGTTGAATAACTAAATTCTGCTTCTAAAAGCTAAGAAAATCTGTTAACGGGAGAGGAACATGCTATAATACATATAGGCATGCTAAATCAATCTTGGCGATGTTGTTAGCTGCAATTTCTTATTTGGAATTGCACTAACAGGGGTGTATCAAACCTTCTCATCATATTTAGTTTAAGTTCATTAATGAGAACAGTTTATGTTAAAGAACACATATAGAGAGCACATGCATATGTTCCACTCATTGAAACAAGCCAACTACAAGTAGAAATAGTACACTTCCTGGACATTGTTAATATTTGGAGATGATTGCAAGTTTGTCGCCACCAGCATGAGTGGTGGAAGCTAAAGGTGATTGTCTTCTATGGACATCACTTGACCCTTGTACGTAACTGTTTCCGTGATATGCATTGGAAATATTCTCATATATTTTTGTGTCCTCTCAGAAGCGAAGTCAATGAAGAGTCCCAAAAGGATTGTCATGAAGGCGACCTACGAGAACAAAGAACTCATAGACAATGATGGTTCTTGCTTTAGTCCAAGAAGCCTATTTGCCTTGCCTCCTGATGGTAGCTCCCTCATGCTGGACTCTCTCCATTTTGTGGGTGAAAGTTCTGATCAGGACCTGCTGCTGGACATACCTTCCAATGGTTCATTTGCACAGGCAGAGCTCCTTCACCCAACTAATAGTTTTGGCCAACAGGCAAGCACTAGTAGTAGCTCGATATACCCGCACCTAGGCCGCCCCTAACAATGTTTGTTAAATCAATACTTTTAATCACTAGGGCCAGATCTTCTGCTGAATCAGGTGACTAGTTTAAACATGTTTTGCATGCCAAACCCAACAAGTCTGTGAATGAGGTTTGATGGTTGCTGTTTTTTCCCTTTATCATTTTGAACTTGGTACGCTAAGAGATGACTTCTGGTGGGTTTTTGTATAGGTTGACAACAGATTGTAATATATGGCTAAAAAGTGCATAGCAGCTGGTGATTTCAAGAGTTTTATATGCAATTGTAGTTGTTGTATTGCAAAATTACTTTGAGATAACCCTTTTGTTGGTTTGCTTTTTAATTCACTGACACTGAGGGAGTAAAAACCAAAAAGAAAAAAAGTGGAGGATTGGCTTTCTGGGAAGAAAGTAGATATTTCAGCTCTTTGTCTTTGCCTTTTGGAGGATGCCTACATGGTGCCATTGGGCGGCTGCATCTAAATGATAAGATCCATCCTCCAGTGGACCACCAAAGGATAAAAGGAAAAACGAATATACATCTGCAGTGGAATGGCGTTTTTGAACGCGATGAAGAGGAATCATGACGAAATAGTTTTGGCTTTTTGAACGAGACTAATGGGTTCAGTGCTATTTGTTTAAAGACCAACTTTGATCCCTGGATTGGCTGTGGGGAAATTTTGAAGCTTTCTGCCTTTTCTATCTCTTTTATGGTCGGGGAATAAGTCAAATTCGCAAACAAGCTAGAGAAGTTGAGTTCGTATCATAATCGAGAGATTTCTAGTTGGGCAATTCCTGTGTGAGTTTCAATCACTGGACTTCCTCCTTTTTGAGTTGTTTGCTGTTTCGCATTGGATATTTGAACGGATGGGATCTGTCTTTTTTTTTTTTTTCCTAGTAGATTTTATAGCATGTTGATGCTCGGTTTGGTTGGCAAGAAGATAGAGGAATCGAATGAAGTCAGGATTCTGATGGCTTTGGTTGACAGTGAAATCACTACAGAAGTTAGTGTTTTATGACATTAGTTTTCAATGATTGGTTACATTTTCTCCCTTGATGTGTTTTAACCGAGCAAACCCCGGTTGGTTGTAAAAGCTAAAAAATAAAGATATCAAATAGCTCAAATTGACGTTCTCATAAATTGATGGGGGAACAAAGTTGGAAGCTCTTGCTGAAATGCAAGGAAAACTACAACAGCATTGTATGAGATCGGAGCACACTAACTCATTTAGAGACCCATATGCTTAACTAAGATTGCTTGCAATCATTCAAAAAACAAAAAAAAAAAAACATTCAATTCAAAGAAACATGGAGGTATGTCCTGCAATGTCAGAGATCTTACGAAACCATTGATGACTGAACTGATTCACGTAAGATGATGCCCTGCAATAGTATGGGAGGCCGTTATATATCTGAATCCCATATGGGTTCATATATAGCTTCTCATAGCGAGGGAGAAATATATAGAATTATCCATATCTTGGTCAAGAATCACAAGCTTATTGTTTACAGTCGCAGAAGGCACTCTCCCTCAGTTCTCCTCTCTTCACCATATTCTATTTGTTAGGGAAGCCAGGGATGTGGAGGTAAGCTTAAGAGTAGGTCAATAGACAGAGACCAATGACCCACCGAAGTTAAGATGGGAGGCCTTATCTGAGGAAAACGCACTCACCTCCTTTCGGCAGATGAAAGAACACTCTAGAAGTCAATATTGTCCATCCCAAGCATGTATCACGGTGGTCGGTGGGCCAAAGCCAAACCACTGTGTTTTTTATCTTGGCCAAGGAAGGCACCTTTTTCGCTTGCATATCCACTATTACCTGCTCATGGCGTTCTAACTACTTGGTGACAATGACGATGACTTTGTTTGGTTCAATTGAATAGGCATTGGCTGCTTCATTCAATGACGCATATGTACACATTCCACACTTAGGGTTCCCTGATTTCAGGGGAAACAGAAGATAAAAGTGTGCCTTTCACCGGTTTCCTCGTTTGACGACCAGTGCATAATCCATCCAAGGTCTACTTGGGTTGCATAGCGAAGGCTTGACTTTAGACAATCATCACTTCTACTTTGAAGGAATGAATGAAGAAAACAAAGGAAAACGAAAACGAGTCCATGCATCTCATTTAGGGAACGATAATAATTTCATTACAAACCCATTTAAACATGACATGTTGTTCTATATATACAATAAAGCTTCTATGCTACAAAATATTTCCTTTGCACCTCACAAGTCGCAAACAGCTCCACAAGGCCAAGCTGACGTCTTCGAACTTTCAAATTCATCAAGGAAAAAGTAGAGCAGCAGAACGATTTCCAATTTCCAAGTTCAGAAACCTACCTGCCTCATCATGGATTTTTAATATAGAGCTACAAAGCAAAATGTTTTCATGCTCCTCAAAAGGTAACAACCAGACCCACCACACCAAATCCCCCAAAACACCAATGTCTGCTAGAACATACCTCCCTGTCTTTATCATCTCCCACACCATACTCCCCTTTTAGCCGTCAACAAGGCCTAAGGAAAAGTCATGCCACCTATCTTCGCAGCCTCCAAGATACTTAACTTTTCGAGACTTGGATCATAATGCTCTCCCTCTGCAAGTATCTTCAACACATCTAATAGTGTGATCTGAAGACCCATACCTGCCATCTCAGACAAAACACTATCATGTTCCGCTTCCCTTGCTCCTGCATTCTCCTTCCTTCCTTGTACAGACGCTGGCAACACACGTTTTTCTCTAACACCATCCTCCTTGCCACAAATATTTGGACCAGCATTAGGACCAACACATCTAAACTTGTGGAGGCCAGCATTAGAATGAACATATCTAAACTTGTCAAGGTCATCTATGCTTTTCTTGGCAGAATGTTCCCCCTTAGTAGTGCATAATCTATTAGCTTCCCTCTCTTCCATTCCATCATTAACAAACCTTAAAGCAGCATCGTTTCCTTTAAACTTGGATTCTATCACCTCATTAGAAAATTCCAACTTCCTCTTTGCTGAGCTCTCTCCACTACATTCCCTATCACTACTGTTCACTTCAATCACCATTTCTCCAACTTGCTCATTTCGTGGTGATTTTAAACCACGGTTAGAACCACTCCCTCCCTCAGAGCCCAATTTCTCCACGGAATCCCCCAAATTCTCTCTTCTCTTCTCAGTTTCACTCGCTAACCTACTTCTTGGACTCCACGGATCCAGATTTCTATCCAAACGTTTTGCTCTTTTTGACTCAGCCGTAATTACATCCACTGTTTTCACTAATCTGTGGTCACATTTGACATATTCAGCCCCTACAATAGTTCTTGGAGTCCACTTAAATCTATCCAGTGATTTAACCAATCTCTCAAAACTTTTCCCTATTTCAGTTCTTAAACTAGGTTTTGGAGTCACTAAACCCAGATTATTATCATTATGTTTCGATCTTTTAGTCGTAGACTCACCTAAAACATTATTTGAAGAAGACGAAGAAGGTAATCCTCTTTTCGAAACCATATATTTCATATACTCACAGTGAATTACCTCTTTGTCTTGAGAATTATCCTCACCACCATCCAAATCATCTTTAATTTCAATTCTCTCTGTCGCTCCCCCTCTACAGTAAACCCTAGATCTTTCTCTCGTGAACTTTTCGCACAATCTCCACCATGAACGGTCATGATTTCATCAATTCCAGCTCTCTCAACCCTCTGGTCTTTCTTTCCGCGATCAACGGCGACCTCTTGCTGCTGCTGCTGGTTTTGGGAGCTTGAGAGGGAGGGCTCTTCCGGTGGAGTGGTGAAAACGTCGTCGTTCTGAAAGACAGAATTGTCATTTTGGTCGTCGTTGTGGTTATCCTCGGGAGTTTGTGGAGGGGAGACCATGGTGATGGCGGTGGATGCGACAGGGAATTCGGCGTCGTGGGAGGGAGACTCGTCGTTTGTTTGTGGTTCCAGAGCGAAGGGACATTGGTTCAAGTGCTGCTCTTGGGAATCCGAGACTTGACACAGCTTTGTTATTGCAGCGAATGGATCGTTTTCCTCCATTTTGCAGAGGAAGATTAGGGTTTCTTTCTCTCTCTTAAAGATAGAGAGAGAGGGATGGGGGAAGTAATTCTTTGGAGTTTCTAGGGATTGGATTTTTATATTGAATGTAGACTTTGATTTTCCCGCCATTTTTTGAGCAAGTTGATGTATTCTGATCTGTTTGATGTTTATTTAAAACGTATAGACGAATGGTCGTTTGGTTTCCTTCTGCGTATCGTATACTTCCGCTTCATAACGACTTGTCTTTGGCTTCGCCTGTTTAAACGACTTGCCTTTTAACTTACTCGAGAGCGTTTGCAGCAAATAGTAATCGATGAATTGATGACCGACAGGTCTTCTAGGTAACTCGAAAGCCGTGCAATTATTCTATCGTTCTAGTTTTAGAATTCAGGGGATCCAAAATATCACAACCTTTAATTCGTTTGATTCTCAGAAGATTGATTAAATAAAATAAATGATACTGCCTTGTTGGCTATTTTTATTTTAAATTAAACTAATAGTTATTAGTTAGATATACGCGTTATGCTACGATCAAACAATCGTTACATATATAAGGTTAAGGATCCGTATAATAGAGTACGAATAGAAGTTTTATTTCGATGATTAATGTAAATCAAATTTACATATTGAGCGAAATTATTTGATTTATATATATTTATTAACAAAATATTTAATAATATTAGCATTAAAATTTGTATTTGAATAATTGAGAGGTTCTTTCAAAACATTATCTAACTTATTTTATTTTAAAAAATAAATTTTAGAATATGAAAAAATAAATAATAAATAATTGGTATTATGTGTGCGGATATATAGTTAATTTCTAATAAAATTAATTAATTATATATACTTAACAAATTTAAAATATATAGAATAAATATAAAAATATAAAAAAAAACACCTAAATTGTATGAAATATATTGAAATCAATAGATTAAAATAAAAATATAACAAAATTGTTTCTCATAAATTCTGAATATATATATATATATATATATATATCATACTTAACATATTCGGAGTATATAGAATAAATAAAAAAATCCACCTAAATTGTATGACATATGTCGAAGTTAATAGATTAAAATAAGAACTACAACAAAATTAGTTCGATAAATTCTAAATAAATATATATAAAAAAAGCAAACAAAACTTGTAAATTTTATTAACCGATTATTAATTTCTTTTTTAAAAAAAGAGATCTAAAACATACTTTTAGCTCTCTCTCTAATATATATATAATCGAATTTAAAAAATAAAACACGTATTTAAAAAGCATAAAAATAATTTATTATATAAATTATAATAATATATTTACAAAAATAAAACACCAACGTTCTAAAGTTTTATTTCAAAATTCATATATTAAAAAACTAAATTTATCAACAAATAAAATTATATCAAAAAATTAATTTGATAAGAATTTTAATAAGAAACAAATAATTAGGTGTAAAAAATATCATATATATTCTATCATTTTCAAACTATACATAAAATTAAAAAAAAATAACGATTTATTTTTTTATATTTTTTACACCTAATTGCATGATAATATATATAATTTCAAAAAAAAAAAACAAAAGAACAAAAAAAAAAAGGATGAAGGTCAGTCGGTGCTCGATTAGGTTGAATAGAAGCCAAGGCCCGGTTGTTGTCCAACACCAAATAAAAAATAAAAAATAAAATCTTAGATACAAGTTGAGTTACTCGTTTATTTACCCCAGTTCTTTTAATTTTTTAGGTAAATGTAATGTGCTTCATCTGTGATTCATGTTGTTTTCTATCATTTGAATTATTGAAGTAATAATATATAACAAATTATTAATTTAACAATATTAAATTCTAATAAATATTTATAATTTCAAATATATAATCATTTAAGTATCCATATAGATTGCAACTCCATTAAACATAATCGATTTCTCTATCATTTTTTCATTCTTTTTTATATCTTCTACAGTCATTTTAATTCTTATTTTTTTGTACTTTTGTTTTTTTATTGTTTGCTCAACAATAATTGTATTTGCTGCATAATCAACGATGAATTAGTGTGATTAATTACTAATTAAAGCATAATCTTACTAGTTAATTGATTGGTTATTATTAAACAGACTTTGCTTATATATGTACTCTTTATTCTTTAAATTATATATATATATATATTGATTAAGACCCTCTAATCTTTATTTTATATTGTTTAAAACCCTCTATGATAACACCGTTAATTCCGAGCTTACGTTGCAATAATATAGCGCATCCACTTTTGAATCTGAAAAACATATCATTCATGGGACTTCAATTGAAAAAAATAACAGGGATTTGATTGCATAAAATTTAGAAAGTATGGATCGAAATGTTTTTATGAAGACTTTGAGGATCAAAAAATATAAATAAAGGACCAAAATGTAAAAAACATTAACCAAAATAATTTTTTTTAATTATAATGATTGAAATAAAATATTTTAATAAATTATTTTTAGCCGGTATTAAATAAATAATAGATAAACGAGCATTGAAAAGTAAGGAATTCTAAATATTTGACCAATTTAGAATGAAAAATGAGGGTTTTTTTTTTTAAAAAAAAAAACTAGAATTGCATGTGTGTGTGTGTGTGTGTGTGTGTGTGTGTGTGTGTATGTAGCTATTATTTTGCATTAATGTTGTTTTTATTTTAATTTTGACCACATATTTATACTTTATTTTTTTTAATTACATGTTAGGTTTGTTTTGTATGTATTTTATTAATATTTATAAAAAATGCGATGGAGTCTCAAATATGATACGTTTTATGGTATTTGAGATGAAGTCTTAAAAACACAATAACATGAAAATTAAAAAAAAAATTTGATCTCTATATTTTTTTAATTATTTTGATTGAAGACCTCATACTATTTGAACTATTTTGAATGAGTCTCTATTTGATCTCATGTATAACACGTGTCACACATAAAAAAAATGGATACGCTATGTCGGTTTACAACCGATAGTGTTATAACGAAGGTCTTATTCAACAATATATATATATATATATATATATATATATATATATATATATATATATATATATATATATATATATAAGATCTCAATTAAAACAATTCGAAAAATAAAGTATCTAAATATAAGCAAAATAAATTAACAAAGTTAATTGGTTACAAAACAAGAATTTGTAAATACCTCTCAACAAACATACATGTATACAGGAAATTGTTAGATGAATTTGTTTTTGAGAATTAAAATGAACATGTAACAACTTTTTAAGCTATCCTTACGTAAACAATTATATTTTCACCTTAATTTGTGAATTTTAAACAAATTATCATTAAATTCGTATTTATATGAATGCATTTATGTAATTGTGAGTTTGTCAATTGGTTGATATTAAGATATGGTGGTTTGTTTTAAATATCATAATTATAAAAGGTGGATATAAGGTTGATTATTCTAAAATAAATAATACTACGTAGACAATTCAATTATTTGTAATATGTAGAAAGAATTTTACCTTGAGATTTTTACATAACTAAGAAAAAATTTACAGTATGTATCAAGTGGTTAATTTTAATATTCATAAGTGTGTATTTTGATATGGTGATGTGTAATAAAAACTAATAAGATAGTGGTCAAGTGGTTAATGACTCAAAATTAGGAGTTGGATTGTTAGGTTTAAATTAGCTATTTACCATACCGAAATTAAATAACTTCAAATGTGAAATAAAAGATGACAATTTTGCGGAACAAATCATTATACCATGTGAAAAAGTACTGGCTCCTTCTTCTTGCAATAAACTTACAAACATAAGATAGTTAGACACATAAAGACTTGCAAATTAAAGAAATTGATTAAAAAATAAAGTCTAATTTTTTTAAAAAATAATGTCAAGACATTAATAATTCTATAGAAATCTCCAATAAGAAGTATATATGAATACATATTCGGATAGAAATTAAACGAAAATATTTTAGATCTTAAAAAATTAACTATGTTAAGTATCGTGATTAATTGTTAATTTATCCATAAAATTTAAGGATTTTATTTTTAAAGTGTTTGTTAAATTATTGATTAGATTTATTAAAAATAAAATTTGAATCACGTAGAAAAACTTGTTATTTGTAGCCTTTTTATTTAATCAAATTTAAAACCACATAATCTCAAATCATCAAATTAGACTATAGATTTTTGTATGACTATTAATGAGGTTAATGTAAATAAGATTTTTTCTTTCGTGTACATTTAATGAATGTTAATTTAATACTTGAAAGTTATGGATAAGAATATTGAAAATAATTTTAGAGTGTTATGAAATAATAAATATCCATCATCATGTTCATCCACTTTTCATATCCCCACTACTCATGATTCTTAATATGATTCAATTCATCATTTAATATGAGAAATTGAAAGGGTGATGCAATTGATTATTCATAGTCCCTTCTAATTCTCTCTTCAATTTTGAAACCTATAAATAGGCTTGATTATTCATTAGTTGTGTATAAGTTTTTTAGAGAGACTTAGAGAAACTTTAAAGTTCTTATCACTTGTATCCACATTATAGTGATTTCATTTTCTTGTCATCTTTTCCTTCAATTCTCCTATTATTTATATTTATTCTATAACGTGTTATTAGCACGAAGTTCTAACCAATCGAGATAATAGACCATGAGGTATGTATCTACCAAAAGATTTAATCAATTGTTTCAACAATTGGATTTCTTCTACACAAGTGCTCTACCAAAAGATCTAAATTATTTAGATCGTTAAGAGGTATGTATCTAATTTATTCATGTACTTTAAATCTATTGATACATGAAATATATATTTGAAAAACTTAAATGATCTACTAATGATATAATATATGTTATTTGAAAAGTTTTAATTTTATTATTATATTTGTTCTTATTTTCTAATATTATTATTATATATTGTATTATAGAATTTTTATCATATCAAACCTCATAAACTTGATTTGGTGACTCTTGATACTTTGAATAAGAATTAT